AAAGTTGTGCTGCAGTTGAGTTTAAAACATTTGTACGCAATCTTCTTTTTTATCTAAAGAATCCACGTTAAATACGAAAATTTCAGAACACAAGATATAATAGTGAAATATAACAACATCAACACGAACATTCTACAGTATATTATTGTCGAATGAGATTGTATTACTGCTACTGAAGTATCGATCAGTTTTTGATGTCATGCGATATGATAAGTATTGGAAGAAATCGTAGACACGAGGCATCATTTTGCATTACCTAGCATTTGCAGTTTCCTTAAAAAATTCGTTCTCAATTAGTCACTTTAAAAACGCCCAAGAAGACGTAGAATAACAGTCGGATATGTTTTTTTTTGTAATTTACGTTTGCTTTAAATTATCGATAATTTTCATGTTGAAAGTTGCAGCGTTTACTGATTTTGACAACTGACTGCTTTGCATTGATTTTTCGGATGGATATATAGCAATGGATTGTGGATTTTTTTGATCAAATACAGATGATAGATGATATAATACAAATCAAATATAGACGAAAGATATAGATGAGCAAATATAACCATGCATCAAATTTAGCCAGGATACTTGCCTGGGAGTGCAAGGTGGTCTGGTCCAGAAAAATAGCTGCATATGAAGGCAATTTTTTTGCTTTTTTTTCTTTCTTCCTTTCGTCCTGTCTAATCCTCATTATTTTCCCCACTGTCCTCTCCCTTCTCTCATTTCCATTCTCTTTCCCCCCTCTTTTTCCCTTTCCATCCAAAGTCTAGGGGAGGGGGACTGCTGCCTAGGTACGTCATTGAAATTGATTCAGAAAATGGTTGAAAATGGTATGCGTTTGTTTGCTTATGAATTCGGAGAGGCTGCTTCTGGGATATTCAATCTACTCAGCTTTTATCACTAATTGTTTTTAACTGCATACAATATAAATCATTGTGCGAAAAGACAACTTGCAAGCAGCGCCAATTTCATCAGTCAGTATTCGAGCATTCAGATGGGATGACTTCTCTGTACGAAATGCTAAAACTTTTTTGCTCTTTAAGTGAAGTTGGTGAAAAACATGAAAATGGTTCAAGCAGCTGCTCATCAGCTGAATTTTATTTTAACTGAGCATACGAATGAATGGGTGAATGGATACAATGCGTCGTAGTACTGATATGAAACGGAAGTGATCTGAATGATGTTTTTGGTGATAGTGATGAAATTTATATGAGGCATGATGTATTCAACGTTTGTTGTGGTAATGCAATAGCATTTCGAGTGATGTCTCCTGTGCTAAATAGAATTTGCGCATGTGTACAATTCAATTGACAAGTGCAATTATTGTGCATTTGTTCAATCTGCAAAACTATGCCATTGGCATTCGTTGAAATCAAGCACTTTGAAGTTTTGAAATGTTTCTTAAATTCGGGGTTGTTTTAATTTGATTTGCTTTTTGTTGAGTTATATGATGAATAACCAACCATTCATAGTATTAAATTGATTCAGTCTCAAATTTCAATGTAAAAGAAAATCCAATTTCAATGTAACAGAATTGTTAAATTTTTCACGTTAAAAATTGGGTTGGTCCATTCAAATGACATTCAAGTATGCTCATAAAATTTCCATTAAGAAAGCAATAGCGAAAGGATCTGATCATCGTTTGTCAAGTTTTATTCACTGAAGCACTTTCCAGTTCCAGTAATCATCCCGTGTTTGTCTTTTACGACATTCGTTTTCTCGCCTCCTCGAACCAGTAGTGCCTGGCACGAATTAATTTTGCCAAGTTTTTTTTCAAATAGGACTGGTGCTCGAGAAAGTCGGTATCTTCATCACAGACATTGAATATTCTGTTTGATTTAATAGTATAAGGAATGAGGGATTATGGAGAGAAATTTAAATTTGACGTGGTTTGCTTCATTAAAACAGTTTGCGAAACAATTCATGAGGAGTAATTGGCAGTAGTTCCGCATGATAATTACGACACTAAATTGACAAATGGAAAATAGTATTTTGAGTTTATGAAAGAATTAGTTAAAAAATGAAACGATGATTCGTTTGTTCGGTAAAAGGTGTTGACGTGTCGGTTAGGCTATACTGAGCATGAATTTGTAATATAGGATATGATTTTGAAGTGCGAAAAGAATGTCAGTCGATCAGAGCAGATGCCCTTGAATAGATTTGAAGGACGAAAACGAGCAAGCAATTGACGCGGATTTATGGAGGTGGATGCCATTTTGGTGATAATGAAAATACCTAATATTGACGATGATGATCAGATATGTGATGTGATTGATGTATCATCCAACGTCCAGCGTTCATTCGTTCATCTCTTTTGTATTAATGATCACCAAATACTCCACTATACCTTTATGCAAGGCGCACAATATTTTTGCGAGGGAATGCATGGACGTTTGCTCAGCTGTGCAGTCTGGAATAGTGTTTCACATGGGGTCTGTTCTTTTGAATCCCGTCCCTGATCGTAGGGTTCGTGTTTTAAATAATCCTATAGTTTCGGGATTTAAGAAGTCACGATATTTCATATAGTTTTGTTAATGTACTCATTTTGAATTACACACCAATCATTCATATTAAGTGTAATGTCATTTACCATTCAAACAACAAACATCATAAGTATAATATCACTAAATCTCAGCACCACCTCAGTTTTCATTTTTCAGAGAATTGCGAGCAAAAATTTTATAACGTCACCAGTGTTTTATCGTTTTTCGTCATCCGTATTGCTTTTTCTTCCGTTTACGATCGGACTGGAAACGATCTTTTTATTGTAAAGTGGTTATGATTTTGCAAACAGTCTAATCTGAAACAGCTTGCTCACAGCATCCTCCCATGCTTCGTACACCTTATACTCATATCACTGCCTCAGTCAGATCTGTTCGTACCAGGTGTTTTGCTCCTGATATTAGTGGAGCATCGATCTTTACTTCCACTGATCACATTGTAATCACTTTATTTAGACTTTAATCAAAGTCTCGACTTGGGTTTAGGTTTGAACTTGGGTTAGGCAAATGTCTATTGGAAATCGGTGGGTAAGGTGAAATAACTGAGGTGTGATTGATAATGGTGCCGATAACACAGCATCGTTCCTGTCAAAACGTATATGTAGAATTCACCTACCGATTCAGTTATTCAGCATCGTGATATTATATTCATTATGACATAGACGGTAGTGATCGATTACAGATCGAGAGGGCAGCAGAAAGATCAAGGAAGGAAAGTGAAGTAGGTTGGTAGAAGACAAATCGATTTACTCGAAACTTAGGGCACGTTTTCTGGATTGAAGGTGGATGAATTTGACGAAGATTTGGGGTATGCATGAGAAATGGGCTTTGCTGATTGTTTATACGAGTGACTTGCAGAGATTGCGGAATGAACATTAATATCGAAAATGATGCAGCCATCTGCATATTTTCTTCCTCTTTTTGACTTGGTTGAACAATTGTTTGCATTTATTGTTGTTTCGATCGAAATGTTGTGTGGAGAGGGATTGAACGTGTGACGGTTACTACGATGAATCAAGCAGATACAAACATGAACATAAGCGTTTATGTACTATTTGTTGGTACTTTGGTTTTGCTCTACGTTATCTCGTTTATGCGAAAGGGTCTTTTAACTTGCAATTTTGTCTCATTTTAAATGCTTGTAAATACGAGTTTATTACTCGTTCATCAATCCGAATGCAAATATTTTCAACATTGTTGCTCGAATCTAACTGCAACTGAAAACAAGAGAATTACGTCTGATATCAGATTGTGAGATATCTGTAGCATTTGAGAACACTTGCACAATTTAATGCTGATTGAAATCAGTTGAATTCAGATTGTAAATTTCGGTTTGTAATCCTGCCGTACGACAAATCTCATGGATTGAACATTATCAAATGGAAAAAAAGAAAACTCTTGCACATCATACACATTCCTCTAAAAACCTTTACCGTCATCAAATCATTTACTCATCGAACAACAGTGGACACTTTTATCCATTCAACGCTTTTTTAAATCCTTTGAATTTAATGCCTCGACTATCATCTATTATGAATGAAATCCGTTAAGTTGATCAACATTCATTCCAACTGCTAAACCAATTGTTCATTTTACTTTTTTTCGTTTCGACTATCACCTAGCGAAACAGCTGCCTTTTTCTCCATCATCAGTTTACTACCGCGAATTTTCTCTCACGTTCTATGGTTCATGATCATGATGGAACGAGGATCTGTCATTTTTTTTCAGTTTATGTAAACATACTTTAAGCATTTTCATTTGCTAGTTGCTTTCCTCGAATTTCATCGTAAATTTTTTTGCATCATCATTAGATCATCACTTTTTTCCACCTGCCTTCCGTTATTCTCTTGTTTCTTGCTGACTCTTTTTTCATTCGAGGAATGCTCATGATGACCATCTGGAAATCCTTAAACACTTCATTCATCCTTGATTTTATTGTCTGCAATCACTCTCTTACAATTTTTGAGTTGTCTGTTCTCGTTCCATGTGCATCAGTTAGTTCCCTTTCTATCCTATTCACGTCTTCTCCTTTCCCTCTTCGTAGAAATGAATAATCAACTATGATGTTCCAACGCAGCTCGCCTTATTCTCGTTCTTTAATGCCACTACAAAGCATCCATCTCCTTCTTTCCTAACCACCAGTCTTCTCATATTTTTATCGCAGTAGTAACAACCAAAATAGAAACGAATCGACCAGAAGCGCCGTTCTAAGCTGTCGTTCGCTGCAAAGTGCATCATCGTTCTATTCATCGATTTGCTGTCGTAACTCGTATCGTCGTCGTAATATTCCTACTACGTTTCATTCCCGATGCTTATTCAATTCAATAAAGCCACAGAGCAGTCATCGTCGCTAAAAGGGATCGTTTTTCTGCAATTTTGTCATCGCTTCGTTTATCATCATATATCGACTGCAATTTAAAACGTCAAAAATACGTCGTCTAAATGAACGACTGCTACTCTTCAAACAAGCACCGGTGCTGGCTCTTGCTTGCAGATTTGTATTGTCGCATGGCGCCAGTTAGGTTATCGGGTTATTATAATGAGTATTTTGTATTCAAACATGCACATACACTGAAACGTTCATATCTTGTGAATATACGCATACACACGTACACTATATTGCATAAAACTTTTTTTGATGATAAAGACGAATGGCGTTTAAAGAATATATTTTATCAGTGATTATTAGTAGCAATGATAACAGCTGATCAAATGGTTCATCAACTGAAACTTTAAGCACGTCTTTCTTCTAATAAAAACACTTCTTATCCCATGATTTAACGTTATATCAGCATACTATCATTCACAAGCAATGTTTTACTAGTGCAATCTCAAAAACCTGATTGACTATGAGAACAATGCAGTTGCACAACCGGAAAAAAATCGAGGGACCAGTTGTTGTAGTCAAAAATGAGAATGACAACTGCGAAAGCAGTTGAAGTATGGGGATGGTGAAGGTTCCATCTCATGAGATCCATCCATCCAACTGAACCGTATACGTTCAAAATTATCAGCGCTTGTGTACATTTACAACTATATGCATTTACTGAATAATCTCATCAAATTTCGAGATTTTTATCAGAGAGAATAATAGTGAGAAGGGGAAAGAGGTAACGCAAGTTATGAATTAATACCGTAATCATTAATCGAGGCAGCATCGTCATAAAGTATGAAGACCGTTGAGCATCGTCATAAAATACTGACAACAAAAAAGGAAAAGAATAATTTAGTTTACCGCAACAATTGTAACCAAGTGAAAAATTGGCTTGTTTGTATTCCGGCACAATCCATTTTTACATTTCCGAACGTCGGTCTGTACCAAAAAACATAAAGTTATCAAAAATGATGTTCAATCGGCGGATTTTCAATCGAAATTCGATTGGTTTCCGTCATTGTTTGTAGGTGAATTGGTTTCTAATTGTAAGTGAAATTGCTTATGAAATACCTTTGAAATGATCGTTACGTTATATGAGCGAGACAGTGAATTGACTTGAACTGGAAAAATTTGTGAAGTTGATTGGACTGAAATTGTGTTTACAGAGCGTCATCATCGTGTCGTGGTGGTGAGGATGATACATCTCCGCCGAATGGAGTAATATCGTGTTCGTTGACAGGCAGCGAGGAATTGTCAGATCGCCGGATTCGACGTCAAATAGCGAACTGTAATGAACGACGTCGTATGCAAAGCATCAATGCTGGATTCCAAAGCTTGCGTTCATTACTGCCGAAGCGAGATGGTGAGAAGATGAGCAAGGTAATGATTAAAATTGTACTATTTCAGCTTCAGTCATCGTCAACGTTGATGATTTGTGTGGTATAGTATAATGTGTTATGATAAGCTAATTGGTTGAGTATTATCAGGCTATGAGAAGTGTAAATATTATGTACGCATTCGTTTCTTTTACTGAGAATAAGAGTTTTGTAATGTGCACACAAACATCATCTCTGCTATGATATCACTTCGTTGTCGCACTTCTTGAATCCGTTGCTGGGAAAAAATGAATTTTTGAATTGATCGAAAAAAATTATTTTAACGAATGATAGGACTGTTTTATCAGCAGTTGGGTTATGATGTTTTCTTCGTAATAATACGTCCAGAAAGACAGAATGAATGTAGCTATTCAGTCACAAGAAAAAGCATTCACAAGGAAATAATAGAAATCATTTTCTCGAAACATTCTTCGTCACATATCTGTCTACACCGGTTTTGAAGCGTCATCGGCAAAAAAAGCGAGCGATAGATGTAGCAGTAGCAACCTGTTACAGTGAAGAATCATTTAATCAGTCATTTTTCCGCAGCAATATTGTTTTCTCAGTTACACAAGCAACAAGTTCACAAACGTTCATGTGCTCTTTCTGTGTGTTCATGCTAACAATAAACAAGTTTAAAATGGGAAGGGGATTTCAACTGAGAAATGCCGTTTTTGAGAGGCGGATTTTTGGGTAAGAAAGATGTATGCATTATGGGATTACAATGTTTTTTTTTAATCACAGTTGGAAAAACAAATTTTTGAAAAAAAAAAGAAATCTTTTTAACGTTCCTTTCGCTCATGACGTTGATGTAATATTATTATCAGCTCAGCATTTCATGTGTCACCCCGCTTCTATACTGTTCAGTTCAAAGCATTTTGAAGTTTGCGATGTTCCTCGAGAGAATCTATGTGCTAATAAGTGTGCTGACTGTTATATATATATTTATTTATTTATTTATTTATATATTTATATATCAAATGAACATTATATCGCGAGCAAAAAATTGCATTTCTGACTGATAGATTTTACAAATTTATGTATAGTCAAAACGCTGATGCTTTCTGGACAGTTCAGCAGGCTCGGTAAAAATATTGAATAGCAAAATGTGGGCGAACAAAAAATATTTCAGATTTTGAATGTCAATTGAGCACTATTCTAGAAGTGAACTTGTTCTCTTTTTGGTGCTTTGAAATCAGTTCTGCTCCATTGAATGACCGATCGACAGTGTAAGAGTGTTATACTATAGGAAGATTTCCGTTGTGCGCAAATTAGATTTTATTTGCTGATTCAGGCAGCAATATTGCAACACACTGCCGAACTGATTCAGTCATTACAAGCCGAGAAAATGCGTTTGCTCGAAGAGAAAGAGGCTGCGATTCAGGCCAAGAAACGTCGGATTGAAGGTATCTTTTCAATTTTGCATTCGGGCTTTCGGGAACACTAGGAGCCTTACTATCAGTCAAACTTTGATTAGACGGGTTTAAAGCTCTTGTTCATTTAATCTGTTATTCATTACGACTTCTTATTTCATTGTTTGCAATCTGTAACTAATATGTTGTCTCTGTACTGTTTTACTGGAATATTAACCAGGGAAAATGACAGATGAAGAGTCTCGAGAACGTGGTCTTGTCGACGAATTGACGGTAGCATTGGAGCAGGAGCGACGGTTACGTCAAATCTACGAGCAACAGTTGATTGAAAGGCGAGAACGTGATTCGATTCTGTCACCGATCTCAACACTCCCCACACCTTCGCAGTTAGCATCCTCAATTGTTGATTCAACCCTCATGCGACCTCGAACCGATTTGGCAGGTTGGCATAATCGTTTTTTTTTTTTAAATTTTAAGTCACCTTGCAAAGAGCGGTACTCGTGTTACGTGGATGTGATCGTGTTGAATGAAAACAGTTGAGTGTTGAATGAACCAGCTTTTTGAATGCGTCGTACAATTTCGAGATTATATGTATGCGTTGCATAACCCATTAAAAGCTGTTCCGCTCATTCACCTTCAATTTCAATGCAAACCTCTTCAACATTGGCCTGAATCTCATTTAAGTGAAGGACAATCACTTTGGGGTGACAGTCACTTTTATTGGATCATATTTTAATCACCAAAGATTTTGTTTACAAATTATCAGTCAGTTATGGTTTGATTTGAAGTTATGGGTTGACAACGTTCAGAACGCTGCTTGACGTTGTTCACTCGTATATTTCTTATTGGGATAGGATACAGTTGCATCCATCTAATTGCTGCTAAGTGACACATCTGGTCAATTTATTCATTAGTGGTGGTATTGAATTATATCGCGTTATCGGTGAAATTGTATAATGTGGCATGGATGCAAAACTGAACAGATTTTGATTTGTGAGCTGGCTGAATGTGGCAGGCGAGTGAATAGTTAAGGAAACATGATCTGAGGGGTTAAAATGATAATGTGATTAGTCTCGCTCAGTGCTAATATCGATGATCGGTTAATGTTGAGTTAATGCTGAGTATAATAAGTGTCTGAAGTGACACTAACAATTTAAACACGCCAATACTGATGAATTGTTGTTTTGCTGCGATTATATGATAAAATTTGCAATGAAATGTTGTCTTTCAAGCGATCTATTCGGTATGCTAGAGTAAAGCGATTGAATGATTTGATTGTGTTTCACAACTTACCAATAAATACAATACGTCGTCAATAACACGTGCTGATTGCATAAGGCTCGTGAGCTTTCGAGTATTCAATAAAAATTTTTTGATTTCAGGTTTATTGCCGCACGCAATGGCATTGGACAGTTTAGTGGGTGCAACGACAGCACCACCAACGGCGTACGTACGGTTGGATGCTGCATCTGCACTGAATCCTACAACGAACGTCACTAGTAGTACTCTATCGCTAACGACGAATGGCGATGCAAACGCGAATGCTACGATTGCAACAACCACGAATAACAACACGTCCACCAACAGTGGTTTCAAAACACCGACAGTTACGTGCATACCGCAAACATCTGCGTCTGCGAGTGCTTCCAATAATGGTTTCATCGGTAGCGCAACGAGCGCTTCGACAATAGTTGATGGTATGCCGCAAGCGCCGTTACTAATGAATTCAATGGAGAATCACTCGACTGCAAATTTGAGTCATCGGAATCTGAATGCCATCCTGGAGGCAATACGACATCTGGAGGGTGGCGCTGGTGTCGCGACTGCGAACAACAATATGATTGTTGCAAATTCAACACCACAACATTCGAATGTTCTTGTTCGTTAGGCGGATGATTGTTGTTTTTAATTTGTTTGTTTGTTTATTTGTTTGTTTGTTGTTGTTGTTGCTGTTGTTTTTGATGATGATCGATCGGTTTGTTGTCAGCGTTTTCGAGTAATGTCGCACGACGTACTTCAATTTCATTTCTTGTTTTTCAAACGTTGAGCAAAATTTTGATTTCGTTTAGCTTATCCGTCGTGGTGAAGTTGAATTTTGTGATTGAACGTTAGGACAAAGTTTATAATTGGTTCACGGTAACTATTTTGATGATTGTTGTTATTTCAAGCAATTTTCATGGCCAAAAAATTGGTCGTGTGAACTCATTCCAGTGTAGCGTAATTCTTCCTGTCTTTCTCAATGTACTAGTATCATTTCGCAGAAGAAATCATGTGGAAATTATTTATTATTTTCGAGAATCGAATTCTTTTAAGTACATTTCCAATTATTGCATTTATGTGATATTACGCAACGAGCTACAGAATAAAATAAAGAATACGGATACCGTTTGGATTGCCTGACATTACTCGTAGATCCAGATTAATGCACGCGTTGTTTATGTGTGTATCAGTGGCCGAATCGTCCGTACCTGTTTATTCCAAAATGAATAATTGGACATGAAAATACGCAGGCATTTCATTTATGATCAGCTACGAATTCATTTCCTTCTTTATAAGATACTTCTGAAGAACGATTCGAAAAGTTTGAAATTACTTCCACAGCATTTGAAAAGATATTTTTCGAGGTTCGTTTCGACGACATGTATCACCCAACAGCGTTTCTTTTCGTGAATAGTTTCAGCATCGACAATGTTTAGCAACTGTTACAGACTTTACGGCCGAGATGAATTAGGTGTTGAAGAAATGTTATCTTAGGATCGCTAATTGTTGTTGTTCTATGAATGGGTTGTTGAACTGATTTTCGGTTGATTGTGTAACATTGTGGCTGTAGTATTGAAGTTGCATCAAGCATGTATGAACACTGAATAGCTTTTTAATTTGGTGTCGTAGTTGGCCACGAAAACAATCACACGAAAATCATGCTCAGTCGACCCTCATTGTTGTTCTAAGTGATCGCTTCTTGGATGTTATTTAGAATCATCAGTCGCCTTCAATGAAAATATGCCATCAATTTTCAGTTATTAATTGCTAATAACTTATATCTCAAAGGCTTGTTATTTGTTATGATGATATTCAATCGGTTTGTTTGATGATCATTGTTGATATTAATACTCACCATTTGCAAGGATATTCCATTGTCCTCTCATTCATCTTAAGTCTTCATCATTGATCTTTANAGTTAGTTGTTTCATGCTGAAAAAAAAACGGAAATTGGAGGAAGGAGATTTGAGCAGTATTGAACTATACGGATTACGATGGTTTGAAGGCTACTTTTTGACGCTGAAAATGTGAAATATAATTGGAACTGACGCAGTGTTTAGTGGCAACGCGAATATCGTTCGAACGAAAGAGAGATTCGGAGCTCTGAGATGAGTGTATCGGTGAACCTGACCAAAAGATTGCGCACTGAATTGAGAAGATATTCCGTAAAACTCAGCGCAAAACTTTCCGTTCATTTGCATTTTTTTTTGCAACAAAAAGAAGCAGAAATTTGTCAATTAGACTGATTATGGAGGACAAAAACTATGTGAAGGAACAGTCCGCACATGCGATTTTTTTCAGAATGAACTCTATTTAAAATGATCTGCTTCAATTATATTATGTCTTCTTGACATTCTACCGCTTATTTTATTACATCAGACGTAAATTCTCAAATAATTCCCTGAATTATTATTATTTCAACATTTACCGTGAATAATTCAGTTCAATTTTATCTGCTTCTTGCTAAACGTGGCTATGAGTTTTAATTGCGTTTTAAAACGCTTTTGTTCAATTGTTGGTCGTATGTTGTGGTGGTTAATCGTTAATAATTCATGCGGACAATGAAGATTTCTTGTTGTTAGATCACTATTAGTGAATAGTATTTATTCGTTTATTTATTTATAACTTTCATTAAATTGTTTGTTTCTTAATTATATTGTTTGTTAAGCTTTCTTCTAATCATTGTTTTGTTCTATTTATTTATTTTTTGACTGTTTCTTCAACTTTTACTCATCCACTATTCACATCGTTTATCCATATTTTTGGTTTTTCGCTTCTGATCCATTTTGTTGGTGAGGAACAATAAGGCTTTTATCATGAACAACGACTGAAATTATATCCATGAACCGGTGCAGTTTGTTGTTCGATGATGACGAATGAATGAATGAATGGTTTTGCTTTGATTTGATGATAATTGTTGTGGTGTGTAATTGCTGAGTGATGCTGGTTGCTGAATGGCCTTGTTCCATCTTTTTACTACATCATCTCATAAATTTTTTATCATATTCAAACGCTCGCAAGACATCTTCATGTCTCATACACAACATGAACAGATCGAATCTTTGTGAAGTCCAATGCTGTTCGAAGATAATTTTCAACAGAGCGCACATTATGCCCATATAAGCACATGTTCCTCGACCGAGAATCGAAAGTTGTGAATTGTGATAAAATTATTTCGAAACGGCGATAAAATACAACTATTAATTTGCTTTCAGAATCGATGAATCCTTAATTTTAGTTTTGTTTCGTATTTGTCAAATAGTTGCAAATTTTTTTGCTATATTTTTGATCAAACCTTACATATTGTCTAGGAAGTTAACACAATTGGTGATTGAATGGATCAGATTTTTGTTGTTGGAAAATCTGCCAAAATTCTTTTCCATACTCGACTGCATAACTTTCGGATGGGTGGTTCGTTGATTGCTATGTCAGGAACATTCCATTTCTTTATTCCTTTTAGATAATTTATTCTTTTGCTAACAACAACATGAACACTCAATCATATACTCACTTCCTGGTTTGTGCACATGAAAATGTGTTTAGCGGTGGGAATTCGTTATCTGCTATACGCTTGACGCTTTCGTTATACCTTTTTTTCAGATTCATCATTGTTTGACCATTCCATAGTCGCAATTATGTAATGTGTAATTGGTCGTTTTCGTTTCGTTCCATAATAAATCTTATTGTCATTTATTTTATATATTCGCTTGCTCAGCATTGCAATGTTTAGTGGTTGGTCACATAAGAATATTATTTTCGGATAACAAATTGACGGTATGAACGTTTGGATTTTTTGATTGCATCGAAACTTTTGAAATTCTCAACCATCATTTCATATTGGCTGTTTATTTTTTGTTTGTTCCCCCTCTCTCTGTCTCAATGAACGAATAAAAACAATTCTTAAGAATGATATTTGTTGGAATGCTTTGATAAATGGTTGTTTCGTTATGACGCATACGCAAACTTTTCTCTCGTCTTCATTATGGTCGTCATTATTATTATTGTTATTAATATGGTTGTTTGTTAAAAAATTGTTGATCAGTTGAAACGTTTTTAACACACATTCATAAACAGAAATCCATTCATGATAACAACCTACAGAAGACTACAAGGGAGGATCTGGTGGAGGTTATGTTATGCTCATAAATTTCGATGGAGAGAGCTGTTTCGTTGCATTCGAGATGCCAGAGGATTTTAGATTTCTGATAAATCGACCAATGTTGAGTAGGTGAAAATCTGCATTCGTATAGCTCTAAATTCTCACATCATAGGCGATTTTACGACTGAAAAAAGTATCAACTGAAAGCCTTACCGAATTATTACTTCCATAAGCCGTTTGAAGCTGTTGAGCCATTTTACTGCTAGAAAATTGGTCTTTCAACAAAGATTTTTTTGTTTTATATCTAAGAAAACATCGCAGTATTTATTCGCAACCGAAGTGAACGTTGATATAGATGAAGAATTGACCCAGAATTTCTGGATGTTTCGTTTCCAGAATGATTTTTTGAAAGTTGTTCATAGAGAGCTACAAATTGAAGTTTCCAATGTTTACGATTAAGCACCTTTCTTGTGGTCCCTACGACCGACAGTGTATGCTGATTCAGTCTTCCTTTGTGTGGGAATGTGAACGTGCGGTAATGAAAGAACTAAGTGCTCCAACCGTTTCTAATTCTCCCTTCATTTCAGTTTCGTTGCATCTGCAACTAATCACAAAAGTAATGCAGTGATAACGTACTTATCGATGAGCGTTTTTGATGAAGACTGATGTCGTTAATCCTTCTTATCTTCTCACACAAAAGACGATAATAAAAAGCGCGATTGTTTTGTGCATTCTACCTTGAATGTGCATGAAGTTTATTTACTTCACAGTATTTATTCATTTATACCCAATCAAACAGCACAACGAAAACTTAAACTAAGTCAGTTTCTGACTGCCGTTCTTTTGAACAGAAGTTTAGTTTTTAACTTTCGATAATGTGCACAGTTATGAGTGATCACCGAAATCACCGCTTCGTTGCATTCAGATTTGATATCATGGTTATTTGACACTGGACGTAAATTTCAAATTATTTTCCTCCATAGTTTTATTGCTGATGTACAGGAGATTTTTCACTTTATTCATTTACAGGTAGGTGTGACCACCGTTTATCCTTGAAAACAGTACTGCATAATAAAAAATCAGTGAAACTTACTGCAAATTTTTCATGTTCGGCGATTTTTTTTCATCATACTCAATTGAGAATTTGGTTTTTCGAACTTTTGACCTTCAATAAATCTCCCACCCGATATTTATTAAATTGTAGTTTTTTATGGTGAAATTCTGGTGTGATTGTGTTCAAATTGAATTCATCAACAAATGCTTTCGCTTGAATAAGAAATAAATGAATGCTATCATTCTTATCATTTGTTTTTCTTGGAATTATGATCTCACAGTTGGACCAAACTATTTCGCTGAAGTTTCGGTTCAACTGCACTAGGTTTTTTTTGAATCGTCGAGAACGATTGAGATGTCGATAGAAATGCTCAATGAGATGTTATGTTCTCTGCGGATAAAATTCAATAGGCCACTTGAATGAGCAATGCAGATCGAGAGAGTGATCAGCTGTGATCAATTTGTTTAATTAGTAA